TTTGTTTGTTTAAATGTATGCACTTGAGGCCCTGAGCAAGCCCAAACTACCCAAGTGAAAAGACTCCCTCGGAGGAAGCTGAGGATACATCAAGGAAGAGATGCCAGCCAGACCCTTACTGTTATAACTCTAGCCGTTGTCTGATTACAATTCCATTAAAGAGTACAAACCAGAACCACTCAGCTAAGCCTTTCCAAATTCTTGACCCAGAGAAACTGAGGGATATAGTAATTGTTCTTTTATTAAGGGAATGAGTTTTATGATGGCTTGTTATACAGCAATAGTTATCCAAATTACATTTTGGTTTTAGAAATGGGCACTGCCATAACAAAACATAAAACCTGTGGCTTTAAAGATTATCTTTTGGCCAGGTAAGGTGGCTCACTCCTATAACCCCAGCATTTTGGGAGGCTGAAGCAGGCGGATTGCTTGAGCCCAGGAGACAAGCCTGGGCAACATGGTGAAACTCTGTCTCTACGAAAAATACAAAAATTAGCCATGCATGATGGCTCATGCTTGTAGTCCAGAGGCTGAGGTGGGAGGATTACTTGAGCTTAGGAAGTCAAGGCTGCAGTGAGCCAAGATCTTGCCACTGTACTCCAGTGTGGGAGACAGAGCAAGAGTATCTATCTGTCTATCTCTCTCTACATATAGGAGACAGAGCAAGAGTATCTATCTCTCTCTCTATATATATAGCATATCGAGAGACTATAAGTTTTTGCTAAAGTCCCTTTAAATACTATAGAGATAGATATAAATATATATAGATATAAAGATATATGTATTTTTATAGATAGATACAGATGTAAAGAGAGAGATATATATATTTATTTAAACAATAAAGCTTCAAAGAATTTAAAGATATCCCATTATAGTCACACAAAGAGCATAAGGAATACAAAATAACTTTCTAGATATGGCTTTGGTTTAATGGAATATGTTATAAATTGACATGTAAAAAACTCAAGGGTTCTTTATATTGGATGATCCCAATTTCTCTATCTTCTGGTTTACTGAATGTTGTTCTGCTATCTCCAATCTGTAATTCATGCAGTAAGTTTTTAATTTCAGATACAATTTTCATTACTAGAGTTTTCATTTAGTTTTGTTAATACATTTCACTTCTCTGTTGAGATTCCATATCTGCTTATTCCTTTTGATAGCATTTTCTTTTAAATTCTTGAACATATTCATAATAGCTATTTTAAAATCTTTGCTAATGTGAACATCTGCATCACTTCAATTTACCTTCCATTAACTGCATGTTTCCCTTGTTATCATTAAATTTTCCTGTTTCTTTGTAGGTCTAGTAATTTTTTTTATTGTATCTGGACATTATGGATATTAAATTGTTGAGAATATGGTTGATTTGGGTTTTCTTATTTTAAAAATTGTTGAGATTTTTTTTTTTTTTCTCGCGGATATTGAGTTTACTGGAAGATCAGTTCAATCTTTTTGAGACTTATTGTCACGTTTTTTAAGGCAGGACTAAAGTATCCCTTACAGTAGGAATAGAATAGCTGAGCTCTTATAATGTGACCCTTGTAAATTTGTTTAAGTTCCTCATAGATGCTTTGTATTAGATCTTTGTCAGATGCATAATATGTAACAGTTTTCTCTGATTCTATAGGTTGTCTGTTGACTCAAGCCTGCTTACTCACTGTCAACTGTTGATAGTTTATTTTGCTATTCAGATGCTCTTTAGTTTAATGAGATCCCATTTGTCAATTTTTGCTTTTGTTGCAATTGCTTTTGGCATCTTCATCATGAACTCTTTGCTTATGCCTATGTGCTGAATGGTATTGCTTAGGTTGTCTTTCAGGGTTTTTATAGTTTTAAATAAACAACACCATTAAAAAGTGGGCAAAGGACATGAACAGACGCTTTTCAAGAGAACACATACATGCGGGGAACAATCATGTGGGGGGAAAAAAAAAAACTCAACACCACTGATCATTCTAGAAATACAAATCAAAACCACAAGATACTATCTCACACTAGTCACTCAGAATGGCTATTATATAAAAAGTCAAAAATAACAGATGCTGGCAAGGTTGTGGAGAAAACTGAATGCTTATACACTGTTGGTGGGAGTGTAAATTAGTTTAACCATTGTGGAAGACAGTGTGGCAACTTCTCGAAGATCTAAAGACAGAAATACCATTAGAAACTGCAATCCCATTACTGGGTATATACCCCCAAAATATACATCTTTCTATTATAAAGACACATGCATTTGTATGTTCATTGCAGCACTATTCACATTAGCAAAGACATAGAATCAACCTAAATGCCTATCAATGATAGACTGAATAAAGAAAATGTTGTACGTATATACCCTGGAATACTATGCAGCCATAAAAAAAGAATGAGACCATGTTCTTTAAAGGGACATGGATAGAGTTGGAGGCCATTATCCTTAGCCAACTAATGGAGGAAAAAAAAAATACCACATGTTCTCACTTATAAGTGTGAACTAACCGATGACAACACGTGGACACATAGAGGGGAATAACATAGCCTGGGGACTATCAGAGCGTGGAGGTAGGGAGGAGGGAGAGGATCGGGAAAAATAACTAATGGGTACAGGGTTTGATACTTGTTTGATGAAACAATCTGCACAACCAATCTCCATGACACAACTTGCCTATGTAACAAACCTGGGCATGCGCCCTTGAACTTAAAATAAAAATTAAAAAATAAAATGACCCTTGCAGCATGTCAACTGAGTGCCCCAGGTTTTGGTAAAGTTTTAAAATTCTGGGTGGACAGAACTGCTATATCATTCGGCACTCCTTGACCTCCAATATTTCAGCTCAATATCTCGGCTCAGCACACAAATTCCCCGTTTGCCCCAAACCCTTTCCGAGTTGCGCCATTAAGTGTGTTTTTTTGTTTTTGTTTTTTGTTGTTTTTTTTCTTTTTTAGAGACAGAGTCTCTAAAAGTGATGCAATCCTAGCTCACTGCAGTCAAACCCCTGGGCTCAAGCTATCTTCTCGCTTCAGCCTCTTGAATAGCTAGGGTTATAGGCATGTACCACTGGTAGTTTCTTTCTTTCATCTTTGCTGCCTATTGCTCAATGTCTGAAAATAGTTGCTTCATATAGTTTATCTAGATGAATAGTTGTTTATGGAAGAAGGCATAATTCAGTACTATTTATACTGGCATGGTTAAAAGCCTTGACTTTGTTTTTTATTTATGGCCTAAACCTTGCCATAACTGTTAATGTTCACTTGAAACTAAGATAATTTTAGGGGAATGACAGAAAATTGAATATATCTATGATTAAGAAATGGAAGACAATCAAATACAGGTTTTAGTTATTGATTATGGCCGGGCGAGATGGCTCAAGCCTGTAATCCCAGCACTTTGGGAGGCCGAGGTGGGCGGATCACTTGAGGTCAGGAGTTCGAGACCAGCCTGGCCAACATGGTGAAACTCCATCTCTATTAAAAATACAAAAATTAATCAAGCGTGGTGGTGGGCACCTGTAATCCCAGCTACTCAGGAGGCTGAGGTGGGAGAGTCGCTTGAACCCGGAAGACGGAGGTTGCAGTGAGCCGAGATCATGCCCTGCCCTCCAGCCTGGGCAACAGAATGAGACATCATCTCAAAAAGAAAAAAAAAAGGTTTTAATTATTGATTAAATAAGACATCAATAAATTATATTTCATAATGTGATCAATGTTTCCAGATAAAAACATCCTAGATTACCAAAAAATAGACTTCCAATTCAAATGAGTTTGATACATATAAAAACATAAGAACTCAAAAATTTATAAATTGTTTAACTCTTTAATACATGACATATATTCTGTACAAATACCAACATATAAGATTTGTGATGGATATAATGTGCTAATTCAACTTACTCTTAGATTTAACATCCAACATGCTTTTATTAGTATTTTGTTTGTCTATAAAATGTCATCTTAAAGAGATCAGAGGATATCAAATTGCCAGCATAATTTTTGCCTACCACTTTGAGAATAAAGAAGTTTTATTCTCCCTACATCCCTTTTATTTCTTGAGTTATTAATGAACCCCAGAGTACATCAAAAAGGAAAACCAAAGTAAAAACTATTTGGGCATGAAACTGGACACAGACACACACAAAGATGACCAACCGTAATTCCTATAAACTTTGCTGTTATATCAAACATTTAAAAACTAGCTTAGCAGATTTCATTTTTTTTTTTTTTTTGAGACAGAGTCTGGCTCTGTCACCCAGGCTAGAGTGCAGTGGCCGGATCTCAGCTCACTGCAAGCTCCGCCTCCCGGGTTCACGCCATTCTCCTGCCTCAGCCTCCGGAGTAGCTGGGACTACAGGCGCCTGCCACCTCGCCCGCTAGTTTTTTTTTTTTTGTAGTTTTAGTAGAGACGGGGTTTCACTGTGTTCACCAGGATGGTCTCGATCTCCTGACCTCGTGATCCACCCGTCTCGGCCTCCCAAAGTGCTGGGATTACAGGCTTGAGCCACCGCGCCCGGCCCAGATTTCATTTTTTAGCAAAGTTGTTTCATCTTTTTTTGTATTTTAAACCTTTCACATTGTCTTTTTCTATTACCAAATACATATGTAGTTGAGAACTTGAAGCTATCCTGCTGTCTTAAGTTCTTTTTGAAGATATCTTACTGTGTTTTTTTTTTAAAAATCCCCTCTGACTAGGAATAAACTAGCAAGAGTTATGTGAAATTAGTTAACATTTTTCTATTTTTAAGGATTGATTTGTTTTAACACCAAACCGTTTACCACTTGCAGATCAAACTGATTATTATAAATACTGGGCTGAAAAGCATACTTGAATAGCATTAGCATATTTTTCCTCATAAAAATGAGTGATTGGGCTTTGTGTTCTATAATTCTATTTTATGAATTGATGCCAACATAATAAACATTTCACAGAAGCCAATATGCTTTTCTAAAAAGAAAAAATATAGCAGTCAAAAAAGACATTTAAAAATCTTAATAAACAATTTAGAAAATATGTATATATTTACCTTTGTAGGTTAGCTTGAGTCTTGGAATATTTTGTTTTGAAGTGCCGATGACTGGAAGAAACAACATGGCCATGCTTAGCATCATCAAAGCAGGAAAAAGGTGAAAATCTTGGCTTCTGGCCTTAAGTCTCTCATCTTTATTAGCATTCATGATGAAAACTATGTTCTCTTTTCAACAGTGTTAATTTAAATCTAAGAAAGAGTAAAAAAAAAAAAAAAACAACAAAAAAAAACTATTAAGGTATCAGCAAACTGACACAGGAACAGAAAACCAAACACCACATCATGTCACTCAGAAGTGGGAGTTGAACAATGAGAACACATGGACACAGGGAAGGGAACATCACACACCAGGGCCTGTTGGGGCCTGGGGGGCTGGGAGAGGGAGAGCGTTGGGGGAAATGCCTAATGTAGATGACAGGTTAATGGTTGCAGCAAACCACCATGGCATGTGTATACCTATGTTTTGCACATGTATCCCAGAACTTAAAGTATCAAAAAAAAAAAAAAAAAAAAACTATTAAGATAGCAGTTGGCAGGTTTTCCTCAATTTACTAAATTATAATTTATTGAATGTATATAGATTTTTTAAAATAATTTCTCCATAGCTCTTATTTTACTCTTACAGAAACGAATCGGAACTGAGGAATAAAATTAAGGACTGGCTTTGTCCAGATGTAGAAATAAAAGCACCACTAGAATTTAAACTATTTTGATATTTAACATTTTTTCCTTCACTAAAGTTGTTTCTGTGTTTTGTTTAAGCACATATCTCAAGAACCAACTTTTTTTGAAACTTGAATTATTTGATCAGATGAGACCACTTTCACTGATAGAAGCCCATACTTGCCCCATGTCATCCCCAAATAAAAAGGTCCACCAACTAAAACAGACAAAAGCTGTCATTTTGAGACAAGTTACCTTGTTTCTGAGTTTAGAGACATTTAAAAATTCCACTTAAATGTGAGAAACTAAATTTAATTAGGTCAGGGCCCCAGTAGAAGTGTTATGCCTGGAACAATGCAATCTTACCTGAAACCTATATTATTCCACACAGGGAAGTAATGAATAGAAAAACAAATTCTAAAATATAAGCATTTATAAGAAGGAGGGGGTGGTTATTAACTGGGTTGCCATAAAATAGGCTAACTTCGTTGTTTTCTGTGAGATGTAGAGTAAATCAAAACACGTATTCCAAACTAAGCCTGGTAATAAAAATTACAAATCATATTTATTGAGCATTTATATGTACCCAATACTTTTTGAAAAGTGCTTTACGATTAAATGATTTAATTTAAAAACAACCAGTAAGGGTGGGTAATTATTTATCTCACTTCACCAATGAAACAAAATTGAGGTACAGAGTTAAGTAGTTCTTCCAGGGGTACACGGCAAGTAAGAGAGGGATCAAATCAACGCATGATCAGGACCTTAGCTGGAGTCTGCTTTCTTCGCACCTAAGTCTTCGGGTGCTTTGCATTATGGTAGAAACCTGTGATCTTCAGCTCCTGCTAGAGTCTTCAACTTCTCTTCCATGTTAATTAACTTACTGCCATCTTACTAGGAAATAGGCCACAGAACCCATAATTTCCTTGATGATACATTGCATGGTGATAGCTTTGATCATAATAAAAAAGTATTAGACTTTAAGTAATGTTCTAATTAGTTAACATTTAGAATCAATATTTTATGCCTATATGGTTTAGTTTTAAGAGAAGGCCTAATAAGGGATGAATTTTCCTTAAGTGAGATCAGCTCTTCAGTGTATTAAAATGTCTCCCAGATTTTGAATACCAAGTTTTCAGTTACCTTAAATCTCAGCAGCTAAGTCAAGTCTTTGGAAGTAAAATAAAATCAAATTTTGATGTGTATTATGTTTATACATGATAAATAATTAAGGATAAACTTCAATTTTATGCTGAATTTCTTCATGAAATGAAAAGTGAGTGCTTAATAAGTTGTTTCTTCAATCACTTTCATTACATTCAAAGATACCTACAAGAAATACTAAATTATTCTTCGTATATAATCTGTCAACATTTAGTTCTTCTTTTAGAAGGTTACTCCATATGCAGATAATCAAGTTGATTTAGATACTCTTTCAATCATATTGTGTTAAATATAACAAACATTGCATATTTTAGTCACATTTAATTGACATTTCCTGAACGTTTCCCCTAATTAGATAAAATGTGAGAGACAATAGGAATGTCTTTCTGATGAAAAACACCTACACCATCAGCAGCCCTTTATGAAAATTTTAGTTTTAAATATTTCAATTATGCTAATTTTAATATAGAACACTAATAAAGCCTTTTTTAAAAAAAGACATAAAGTCCTAAAAATTATATTATTTAAAGGCCAGTAGGAACACATTAATGCTATTGCCACAAAACAGTTACTTTAACTGATCTACAGAAAAAAAAAATATCAGATTAGATTTGAATATATGAGTTTTGAATCATTCAATCTCAATGCATTCTTACAACTTGTTAGTTTTAAAAGTTAGTTTTAACTTGTTAGAATACCAGTATTCTTTGACTTATAGATTCTCCTTAAAAACTTGCTGCTTTTACACAAATTCCAATACAAGTTTTAAATATTTACATATTTATACGTTAATAAATATATATTTATATAACTTATGATGGTATTTGAATATATCTAACATATATTCACTTATATATATTCTTAGCCATTGGCATCATATCTAATCGCTATTTATAAGGTGAGGAAATGAATAAGATTTTTTTCTGAAGGGAATGGTTGATTATAAACAATAAAGTACCATAAAATAAATTTAAAATGGAGACATTTGTGACACGCTATGCAAAATAACTCAAAGGAGTATCATATAGGCTTAAACAAGACAAGTATACTTTCCTGGAGGACAGAGAAAAGAGACTGGGAAAGCAAACAGAGACAGTTCCAGAAAACAGTGAAACCTTGTTAAGGACTCCTGAACAGTAAGGCAGGCTGCATGATAGACTGGGTTATATGGCTGAGAAGGAAGAGAATGTGGCATAATTCAGGGGCATAGAACAGAAGCACACCAAAGAGAATCTTTGGCTAATTCTTAAATTTGGCTCATGCATGTTCTTGTACCTAATATATTATGACTCGAAACAATACATATGATCACTCCATACTGCCTTTGGTATTGATCAAGTGTGCTGTTCCACCCACATTCATCAGTGCTTCTCCAATCCCATTACCCTGTTCCTTCCGTTGTTTCTTGTATTCACATTATTAGCAAAGCACAGATATCTGATTGCAGCAGAGTCACAGCCTTGGCATACAAACATGTATTCTCCCTCCTACCCATACCCTCTAAAAAAAATGAAAGGTAAAAGGAATGTAGAGACTAAATATATTAAATTTCTCATTATACTTTTTTTTTTTTTTTTTTTTTAGCTTCTGGACATGTGAAATACTTTTTTATGACATATAACAATGCATGTAATGTGAATGTATGTTTATATACATAGGCAAAAAAGAGGGAATTTTCCATATGTGCATTTTATTAGCAATAATGACCTTAGTGCAGGACATTTCCTGGGAATTAATGACTAGTTGGGGTTAATGGCCCTTGGCTATGCATTGAGATATCCACTCCTCCAACTGGTCATTAATCGCTAAGACATGCCCTGTGCCTCTAACGTCGTAAGTTGAGAAGATTGATGTTTTGGTTTTCAATGAACAGTAGTAACACTGTTCCTTGTAACCCAACTAATTAATATTGTTAAATAAGTTAAAAATCAAAGCCCTGCTTTCCTACTAAGACATTCTGAGAAGTGCCTATGTGTGCTGAACCTGTACTTGGAGGAACAAAATAAAGCAAAAATGGCGATACTTCTGGAACTTAAAATAAAAGCCTTTATATATTTTTCTACTATAAAACAGTCAAGACCTACAATCTGCTGGTCCTGATTCTTTGTTTTTCTTCCCAACAATCCTATAAATTCAATAGTTAATCTTTTAATTGAGATAATTTACGGATTAGTCTTGCCAACAACCTCCTCCCTACTCTGTTGATATTTTGCCGTCTTCGTGTGTGTGTGCGTGTGTGTTATGTGCACATGTGTGTGTGTTGTGCATCTGGGATGAATTATGGAGAGAAGTAGGTGTGATTTAACCCAAAGTGGGTGGATTTAGTGAAATGCATAGGTTATACTGCATGCTACTGTCTGTAACAAGCTTGATCTGGAGCCAATTAACTGAATATAATCTATTCCAGATGCTCCCTGATAGAAACAGCACTCTTGGGGATCTTCAGATGTGGAGCCAATAGGGAGTGTTCTGATTATGAGAGACTTTTACACACTGTTCCACTAAATCAGAGATCCAAATGCATAATCTAAACTCAAGAAGACCTTGTGCCATTTCCCTAAGGAACACAAAGAGTCCAGAACTTATTAGATGGATGGTAACTTGTCAAAAAATTTATTTCAGGAGTAAGAGATACAAAATTTTATATATGAGCTTCATTGATTTGTCTTATTTATTCATATGCATTTGTTCCAAAAGTTATTAAGCCAGGATCAGGTACTATTTGTGTGAAAAAATAGCTTCTATGCACAGAACAATAATTAGAATATATAAGTCTTCATGCCTGAAAATCTGGAACACTTAGATGTAGGACTCTTTCTCAAGTGTGTGTGTGTGTGTGTGTGTGTGTGTGTGTATAGGTGTGTAGGTTGGGGAACGGAAGAAAAGAACCCCTGATTTTTTTAATTTTATAAAGAGCTCTTTGTTCTTTATAACTAAGTGGTATGTATAAGGTCACCTGAGAATGTTTTTTACCCAATTCAGAAAGCACAAGGAAATATGCCTATCTCAATATTAAAAGCAATATCTGTATTAACTCACTCTGGCCAAATTGCTGCTCCTATTTTGAGCTATTGTTTGATTAGATGGTTTTCCTGTAGGGTGCACATGACTGATGAATTATTGGTAACATTGCTTCATGGCATGGCTGTGGACAGAACAACAAAAAGGGATTATAGAAAAACACTGGAAAGCCAAAGAGGTAACATAGGCAAACAAAGAGAAGCTTTATGTTACAGGGGGCTGTTATACATTCCATTGATCAAATGCAATAATATCAAAGTAGGATTCAAGTGGTATGTGAAAAGGTCCACAGGAGCAGAGCTTGGAATGCTAGAACTTTCACTTGAATTTATCCTATCCTTTTTAAGTTTCCTTCTGTGTATTTTCTAATAGGCATGTAAAATATTCTACTACTTTAGTAAGAGAGCAAGTATTTGTTGAAAGACTAATTGTCCATTAATGGACTTCATTGTCTTCAGATGTCATGAATTCTCCATCAATTGATATATTCTAAAGGAGTGTGGAAGGCCATCTGACTCCGCAGAGATCATGAAGAGTCTTATATTTGATTAAATGCTAATCAAATATAGCATTTAATTGGCCTCTTTATGATGGCCAATGATATTTCTCCACACACCAAACAAATTATGATTATCATCAGAATTAGTTGTAGAGCTGAGCTAAGCTATTTGTCAGTAAATATAAATTAAACTACCTACATTTTTATTTTTTAGTGGTTTAAACATTATGTTTGCATTTCTAAAATACACTGAGAGTATATTGTTTTATAATCCTTGTTCAACAAAGCAACACTGTTAACATTTTACTTGGGTTTGCATGCGTTATAGCCATGTACTAAAAGCCAAATAAAATTCTGTAAGATCTCACCTCTAACGAATTCAACATACAATAATACAATTGTGAGATTTTAGAATGTATGTGTGTAATCTCTTAGGTTTAATATTGTGAGTTTCTTTTTTTTCTTACCTTAACAGTAACAACAAAATAATGTTTAAGTTGTAAAAAGGTCCCAAAGAAATAAAGTGCCTCCAAGGTCTAAACTGTTGAAGTTGTTAACACGTTTATACAAATTTAATAAAATACTACTGTGAATGACTTTATTGATATTAATTTTCCTCATCCTAAATCTCACATCAATTTGCTGTTCAAAGCAGCAATTGATACTTATCAATTTGAAGGGTCAGAGAAAGTACTAACAACATCATCAGAGTTGGCTTTTCTTCAAATCAGATTAATCGACAGTCCAAAGTTTCAATATTTTCCTTTCAAATTCTTACACTCTTGGGAGCATTTTAACTCATGCAACTTTTCATGACTAAGATAATCTTATAATATGCTTTTGGGGAATTATATAACATTTTGTCAAATTTTAATGTGCGCACTCGAAACATAAATTGGTTGTTTTTTAAAACTCAAAAGCATCGACCTCAAATATTCTGATAAGTGCCTCTTAGGTACTTCTGCTTTTTTTAATGAAGTGACTTGAAAAAAGCAGAGTAGGAATTATTGAAAATATGAAGGCAAAATTATTATATTTTCTTGGAATAATGAAGTAAGAATTAACTTTTATTTTATTTTATTTTATTTTATTTTATTTTTTTATTATTTCTTTTTTATTTTTTTTTTTTATTTTAAGACAGAGTCTCACTCTGTCAACCAGACTGGAAAGCAGTGGAGCGATCTCTGCTCACTGCAAGTTCCACATCCCCGGTTCAAGCAATTCTTCTGCCTCAGCCTCCTGAGTAGCTGGGATTTCAGGCACGTGCCACCGTGCCTGGCTAAATTTTTTATATTTTTTAACAGATACGGGGTTTCACCATGTTGATCAGGCTGGTCTCGAGCTCCTGACCTCATGATCCACCAGCCTCGGGCTCCCAAACTGTTGGGATTACAGGCATGAGTCACCACGCTGGGCCAAGTATATTTTTATTATTGAGATATGCTTATTTCTAATTTAGTCAAGCCCTTTTATTTTTTAGAAATGTCATTTTTATCAAAACTAAACAGTATTTTGGCAAATATCCAAAATTTCTCTTTATTCTTTTCTGAAATTCACATTCAGTTATTCATTTAGCTGTTGAACTACATGTCCATGTAACATTTTCCCAGAATTTATAATATGTATCTAATATTATAAGTATTCTGCCTATGTGAAGAATAAATGGATTCGAATTTTAAAAAATTGATTATTCACAATAAAATGTACAGAATATTATGTTTTACAAACCAAGTTAGTGGCTCCATGGTCTCTGTGGCAGCATAAATAATTCTGCACTTGGAAACTTGTCTTTCAAAGCAATACGAATATTTTTATGATATATGTATATTTCCTTTTTTTTTTTTTTTAAGAGATAGATAGGATCTCACTCTGTCACTGAAGCTAGAGTGCAGTGGTATGACCACAGCTCATGGTAGCCTGGACTTCCTGGACTCAAGTGATCCATCTGCCTTGGCTTCCTGAGGAGCTGGTGTTACAGGCATGTGCCATCATGCCCAGCTAATTTTCTACTCTGTTTTTTTTTTTTTTTTTTTTAGAGATAGGGTCTCACTATTTTGACCAGGTTGGTCTGCTCTTGAACTCCTGGCCTCAAGTGATCATCCTGCTTCAACCTCCCAAAGTATTGACATTACAGGTGTGAGCCACTGTCACTGTGCCTCACCTACTTTATTATATTTTAAAATATTATCATGGTGTTTGTTTTAGCAGCACTTATTCTAAGGTAAGAACAATACAGAGATGCACGAAGAGAAGAGCACAACACCTAGATAGGAAAGACAGACAAATGTGTAAAACAGAATTTCTTTTCATTTATTGACTTGTGGTAGTCGTGTTTCCCACAGTCTTCATGTGTATATTTTAATTTTCCAATTAAAAATATTTACTGAAAAATTGGTTATGCCAATGGAGGAAAAATTGATTTTTTTAAAATTATTTAATACATGTCTTATCAGACTGTGAGATGGGGATTTCATCTTATCATGAAAACAACATACAGAGGTTATAGTTGCCAATATGTAAAACTATATAAGCCTGCTTATACAAAACCACTTATGTATAGGAAATAGCATTTCGATAAGTTCCTACACTGAGACTAAATTATAACATGGGGTTATACATACTTAGTTTAGAATCTTAAGGTTGTAACTATTGGAAACCAGTAAATAATTATGAAGTAATTAAATTACATTTTTGAGATGTATGCTGTAGGACAATTATACATATTCTTCATAAAAATCCTAACCCTTTTACATAAACAGATAAAGAAATGCCATCAAATCTACCAGCAATGCCCATATTTAATAGCAAACTTTTAATCTAAAAAAACTGCACATAGCAGGAAAACTATGACCTTGAGTTTCATACTCACATATATTCTTCAGGAACACATAAACTGTTGAGATCAAAACACTTATAATGAGTTAAATGAATCCTATATAGCCTTATTTTATCTTTTTTTTAACAAAAGATGTGCTAAACACATTAATACTATTTGTTTCTTTCTTCACTATTTAATGAAACACCTTAGGGAAATAAACACCCTAGGGAAATAGGAGAAAAAATGTAAATAATTCACTTCATAAACATAATGCTATCTGGAAACACAAATAGGCAGCATGTAAAAAGAACTTAGCATCACAAGTGGAATTTAGGAACCAAGTCTTCATATCCGATTTGAATTTCATTGTATTTGACCCAACTCATCAACTATTAATAATTAACATTATAAATTCAACACCTGATGATGACTATGCAATCAAAAAGGCAACTTTTCTTTCAACAAATAAAAGAATTGTCCAGCACTCTTAGCAGTAATAGTTATTTAGTGATCATTGTTTATGTCTCTAATGATGATGACATATGTTCATGCATTTCATCTTGTTTTAACATGCTTCAAATGCAATTGTTCCAACCCACTTGTATTTCTAATTGTGTCATTATAAGGTAAACATTGTAGAATACATTTGCACATGCTCATTATTGGGGTCTCCTGGCCCAGAAAAAGCTGGATATCTGGAAAATCTTATCCATAGGAGAAATCTGAATTTTGCCATAAATAATCTACCAGCTTCTACCAGAAATTCAAAAGTTCTCAAATCCCTGGCTTAGTAAATATTCCTATGTTTGGTTTAACTCTGCTATTGAGAAAGTTAAAAACAACTTAAAACAAATATATAAGTTTTATAAATAAATTGATATCATAAGTTCCATTATTTGTACCTTATATGATTGCCTTGTCATACAAAGTGTAAGCTTCTTTTGGCTACACTTCCACATATCCCAGGTTACATAACTCTTCTGGGACATGTCAAAAGGATAGTAGCACTGTGGTTAAGCGCACAGACAAAAAGCCCAGGTCTATCACTTGCTTTCTGTTTATCCATGGGCCAGTTACTTAACCATACTGTGTCTCATGTTTTCTCACCTGAAATTGTGGATAACAAGGGTATTTGATTCCTTCGTTGTAAGGACTCAGAAACCATAATGTAAAGCGCCACACCCTGCCCAGTACAGAGTAAGTGATCTATCAGTGTTAGCCATTTAAAAATCATTATAATCAATTAGTCTTAATTTTCTATTAAAACTCGATTTAAGAACAAGAGAAAATTATGGTTTTAAAGACAACTCATGATTATCTGAAAGTACAATTACAGTTTATAAGGCCTGTAAAGCAGAGTTTTCAGGAAAATACTATATAACATCCAAGAGTATGAAAACAAATGAAGAAAATAATTTTAATTCTTTGAGATCATAAACAAGCAAACATATAAATTTCTTTTCTATACTTTAAGAGGGGAGAATGAAAGTGATGGTTTGAATCTGATTATGAAGGATATAACATAATTGTATCTGGAGCGCCTCTAATGCTACTCATTTAAATTAAATCACATAATTTATCAAGAAAGAGAAAATAACTAAATACCCAATCAACAATAACTTCATATAAAATGTTTAAATCAAAATAGAATAAACATTGGTGAATATGTGTAGTACTTGACTTGAAGATTTTTACTTGGGTTAAAAAGATGAAAAGAAGTATGCTTCCCTGAGTGCCTTCTCCAGAAAGGATACTACCTTCTAAAGGGGAAAACAAATTTTAAAAATCTTGTGGATCCTGTGAAATA